ATTAATGGTTATCGTTCAGATTTACTTATAATTATCTTATAAGTAGTTTGATTGTATGAATATATATCACATTGTCACTGCATAAAACTTAAACTCATAGGAGAAATAATAGACTCGTTTGTACACAAGTGGACTGAAAAACAAATGGCATAATCAATTAAACCTCATTTCTCCAAGAACTACGCATTTCACTTTGTTAATCCCCATATATTTCTCCATTACTTATGTTAAAGAGCTATTTATTCTGAAGTAGTGTTAGGAGCTAATCTATGGGGATATCCATTATTTTCGATAGCAAACTTGACCGTACTTTGATGCCAAATTGAAGATTTAAATATTACGTTATTATTGCGGCCTTGGTCTACCGGTAAAAGTGCAATTCCTCAAGTAGTGTTAGGAACAAATATGGGATATCCATTCTTTTAGATAGCAAACTTGACCCTACTTTGACCCCAAATTGAAGATGTAAATATTACGTATTATTACCCTCAGAGCCTTGGTCTACTGGTGAAAGAGTTATGCCTCATGTGTGGGTTACGCATGTTATAGGTTCGAAATATTTAAGAAGAAATTTGTTGAAATATTTAATTATTAAAGCTCTTGACGCAAATAGGGTGCTATTCTCTGAACAGAAACATTACAAAGTCAAAAGCTCTGAAATTATTATTGGAGTTTACATTTTCTTAGTAAGATGCAAAATTCCTGTATGTCTCACAAATTCAAAAAGAAAACAAGTTAAGGTAAAGGGCTGCTTAAATTCCGATAACAACTTTGTACCATTTTCTAGATAATTTAACTAAAAACTGGAGTTACAATGTGCAAAATTTTCATTACTAATATTCATTTTTGTGATTTCCAATTTCACGAGAAAATTGTTATAGCTAATAGTTCAGGAAACAAATTTATAACTTTAGAATTTTTGTGATACAAGAAACATATCTAAAGTATATATTCAAAGAACAATAGAAATAGAGAAAACATTTCATCCATAAGTAGCTAACATCTCCAAGTAGAAAAATTCAACTTTATGTTTTATTTCAAATACTACTGTATTTTTCAAGAATCAAAGTTCTAATATATTTTTCCTATTCGTGTGCACGCAAGTCAAAATAGTTAACTTGTCACACACTACCGAGGATCTAACAATGTGATTGTGACTTCATTATTTGTACTGGTTATCTGCGATCCTGATTTTGCTTCATCAAATATGTTTCTTTCTGTGAAAAATCCTGGTTCTTTAGCTTTTGGCAGTAGACTCTCATTAGCCAACATCAGAACGACAGAAGACATGCTTGGTCTATCATCTGGATGTTGTTGCACGCATAATAAACCCACTTGGATTGACCTTAAAACTTGAGATACATGGCAAGAATCAGCTAGCTGCTCATCAATTAGTTCCAAGGACCTATCTTCTTTGTAAAGCTTCCATGCCTGTTTGAGTTTAGATCATATGGATCATGACAAACTCCATGTCTTGTAAAGTTAAAAAAATGAGTTCTGTGTGTAATGAAGATTACACAGTGCTTACATGACCGAGAAGGTTAAGGTTGTGATCTTGATGGACAAATCCTCTATTTCTCTTGCAACTCACAATCTCTAACACCAAGACGCCAAAGCTAAATACATCGGATTTTACCGAGAAGATCCCATCTACTGCATATTCAGGGGACATGTAGCCACTGTGCCAAAAAAAACAACACCATGAGAACTAAAGAAATGAGATGTCATATGAGAGTACTTTATATGATATTAGAGATTCGTACTGTGTCCCAACCACATGACGTGTTTTTGCACCCATCTCATTTCCTGCAACACTTCTGGCGATGCCAAAGTCTGATATCTTTGGATTCATTTCTATATCTAGCAAAACATTGCTTGCTTTAAGGTCTCTATGGATAATCCGTAGTCGAGAATCTTGATGGAGATACAATAAGCCACGAGCAATTCCGTTTATGATGTCGAAACGCTTTGGCCAATCAAGTAAGTTTTTCTTTGTTTGATCTACAAAATAAGGTTTCTTGTTAGCAGTTTTTGTAATCATGCCTTGGTCTGAACGTACATGTTATGACTAATAGATCAAAGTATTACTCATTTTAGCTTGTGTAGTAGGTTAGAAATCCAAACCAAATATGTGTGCATTCAGGCTTTTGTTAGACATGTATTCATAGATCAACATCTTTTCTTCCCCTTGAATGCAGCAACCTAGAAGTCTCACAAGATTTCGATGCTGAAGCTTGGAAATATAAATAACTTCGTTCTTGAATTCGTCAAGTCCTTGCATGGAAGTCCTTGAAAGCCTTTTCACAGCAATTTCTTGTCCATCTTCCAACACTCCCTAGAAATGGCAAAAGTATATCAGGAGAACATAGATTTTGCAAAGATGAGAATCAATTGCAGAATGAAAATTATCTCTAACACACTAATCTTGATCATAAACTGGTTACTCTTCCAACAATTTTTCACTGTGTACCTTGTAAACAAGTCCAAATCCACCCTCACCAATCTTGTTGTTGAGCGAAAAGTTATTTGTAGCTCTTGTTATTGTAGACAATTGGAACTGTGGCAGCTCAAAATCTTCTTTAAGTTTCAGTTTCTTCTTCTTTTTCCGTTTGTATAACATAATCAGGCATAGCAAAATCATTGCCATCAACAATGAGATACTCATTGTGAGTATCTTTGCCTTCTTTCTATTTGAACCTGCGTCAGATACTACTACCAAATTTTTCTATCAGCCACTGCAGATCGAGATAGGCCACTATTGTTGCATAATATGGTCTCCATGTGTTGAAAAACTAAATTTAAAAACACACCATTGGAAATTTCTTAAACATAAGTTCTTACCTTGCTCCGAAGAATCCATTCTGATGTAAATGTCTTGCCCTCTTTCAGACAGCTTTCTGATGTCAATCAACTCCCCGAACCAAAACAAGCAACCTTTGTCTCCATTGCTTATATCTAGACTTGAATAAGCTGTGCAAGAGCAGTTCCTGGAGCATACGTGACTACACTCTTCGAGTGTCATGGTCTTATCATACTGAGAGTACTTAGTATCCGGCAACTTGATTCCAGAATACTTTAGAAATACATGTTCCTTGTTGCAATCAAGAGGTGTCCTCCGAACACACCCTTCTGACCAATCTCCCTTTTCCCATTGTTGTGGATATTTAGCTACAAACTTTTCCAAACATCCACAAATAGGGGAATTATCTATGTCACAGCTCCCATAGGCACCACATAAGCTATATGTATCACAATTATCGGAAGGTAAATTGTAGTAAATATGCCAACTCTTGGTCCGAGCCACCCACGTCAAGCGTTGGACATAACCATTGCTAGTGAGGACTAGTCTTGATAAAACTGAGCTGTTAATGATTGAAAAAATATAGTAGACCTCCTCTGTATTGAAAATAAATTGAAATGTAAAAATGCTGCTTTGTGTTAGTAGTTGTTTGGGTATCCCACTCCATCTAAAACCATTCCATGGTCCTGCACGAACTGATACACTTGTGCCACGTTTGGTTAGGGCCTGCGGATATCCAGTAGGATCAATGTGACGAGTGAATTCTCCCGGTGTTGGATCATTATCGGTCTTCCATGCTGAAAGGTAAGCCTCATGGCCAGTTTTAAGATTCTTGCCGAGCTTCATACCGGGCAAGTGCGTATCAGTTGGAAAATTGAAGCTCTGCCAGAGGAAACTTTCTGGGTTGCCATCTTTTGCATCTTTTACAACAAGATTACCAGAATCTAAAAGCACTGCAACTGGATTTTGGATTGATCTTGAGGTGTTAGTGGACCATATAATTTCATTCTTGTCGTTGAGAAGAGCTAGTATTCCTGGCTTAGTGACCTTCAAAACAACTGAAGATGTGTTGGTGAGTGGTTTTTCTCTATTGGCAACCCATACAACTGTCTGCACAGGAAGAATTTGCTTGTACCATATACCGATGTATCGCTTTGAGGAACCACTGGGGCTGAAAAATCCCATTTCAAAGGTTCCACCAGATGAAACAACAGTTTGACCATCTATGATGAATTGATTTGTAGTTATTACATCTGTTGTTGTAGAAATCTTGTGTATTGTAGAGTAGAAAGACAACACAAAAAGTAGGAAGAAACTAGCTTCCATTATTGATGACTTGATGATGCCCAAGTCTTTGGTCGCCTATATACTATTCCCTCCGTTTCATATTAAACGTGGTAGTTTGACGGGTACGGAGTTTAATAAACAAGAGTAGACTATTGTCAAATCACCTTAAGTACCAATTTTACCCTTAAGGGTCCACATGCTAGCTTTTTAATGAAAATCATTATAAAGTAGATACTAAATCAAATGTGCCCACATGTCCACTTTAACTAAGTCAAAAAACTTTTTCTTCAATTCTCATAGTCTACTAGCTACTCGCTATTCTTAGAAATTTCTTCAATTCTTGTGGCGCCAAAAAAAAAATGTCTTTCATTCTTGTGGCGCCAAAAAAAAAAATGTCTTTCATTCTTGTGGCCCCAAAAAAAAAATGTCTTTCATTCTTGTGGCGCCAAAACTTCTCTTTTTTAATTAGGTGATAAGCTTGTCTATTTATGTAGAGATATTTGAGATTATTCACTTATGCTTTCAGTGTTTCTCTTCATAATCCTATTGTTTCTCCTAGTGTTTCTAATTTTCTCTTACATTTTGATTATTTTCTTTAATCCTATTTTATCTAGCATATGAGATTAATTATACACAAATGAGTGACTCGCAATTAGACTCAACTATTAGAAAAAGAAGACTAAAAATTGAGGAGTGTCATGCTATAACCGAATGGCTTTTGAAGGAAAGCAAAAATGGAGTTGTAAAACATAGGTCTTTAAAGTAAGTTGTGATTTTATTTAATACTTCAAGGAGTATTGTGGAAAGAATTTGGCAACATACAAAATTAAGTATCGCTAACGGTACTCCATTAAATGTGTCTCCCCATATTGTAGGTAGAGTTGGGAGAAAACAAATTCATGTCGATATTAATATGGTAAAAAAAATTCCTCTTTGTCGCCGAACAAATATTCGATCTTTGGCATATGCTATGGATATGTCAACGTCAACTATTTTTCGACGCATCAAAGAAGGAGCTATAAGGCCACATACCAATGCCATAAAGCCTCATTTGACGGAGGAAAATAAGAAGGCAAGACTTCAATTTTGTCTATCAATGATTGAGTCTGGTACGCTAAATTCAAATCCTATATTTTCAGACATGTTTAATTATGTTCATATAGATGAAAAATGGTTCTTTATGTCGAAAAAATCTGAAAAGTTTTATCTTCTTCCTGAAGAACAAGAGCCAAACCCATATAGATCTTGTAAAAGTAAAAATTTCATAACAAAAGTTATGTTTATGGTTGCTGTTGTGCGCCCTAGGCTTGCTAAAGATGGAACTGAGTTATTTTCAGGAAAAATAGGAATATTTCCTTTTGTGTTCAAGGAACCCGCCAAAAAGAATAGCAAAAACAGAGTAGCTGGAACTTTAGAAATAAAGCCTATTTTATCAGTCACTAAAGATGTCACTAGGACTTGTTTAATTGAAAAAGTTCTTCCGGTGATTCGATCAAAATGGCCACTTTCGCAGTCAAATACTCCTATTTTTATCCAACAAAATAATGCGAGACCTCACCTTAGTGTTAATGACTTGCAATTTACCGAAGTTGCTCGGCAAGATGGATTTGATATTAGGCTTTGCTTTCAACCTCCTAACAGTCCAGATTTAAATGTTTAGGACCTTAGATTCTTCAGAGCTATTCAATCTCTTCAACATCAAATGGCTCCTAAAACTATTGACGAGTTAGTAAATGCAGTCGAGAAATTATTTAATGTCATGAAAGTTGAACGGCTGAATCCCCTGTTTCTGACTCTACAATATTGCATGGTTGAAGTGATGAAAGATAAAGGTGAAAACAATTATAAAGTACCACATATGAAAAAAAAAACATGCTAGAACGACATAGAACTCTTCCTACGCAAGTTTGTTGTGACATTGGTATTGTTAATGAAACTCTAGCTCTGCTTTAAGCTAGAGTTATAGATCAAGGTTATCTGCAACTTATTTTTATAAAGTTCGTCACGACAGTATTTGTGATCGATTATCTAGTGACTTTGGTCAAATAATGTCGCTTCATAACTTCAATCAATGTGTCTTTATTGATAATTTGGGATAAAAAATAAAACACGTAAGTAAGTTACATATGGCTCGCAATATTCTAATTTCTTGAAAAATAATTGTAACTGCAACATAATGGAAGAAGCCACGTGCCAACAAGCCTAGAAAAGATCTGACACTAATGGCTTCACTTTTTCAACATTTAACTTTTAAACTAACCTAATAAAGTTATATCACAAACTATTTACTCTTAAATTCAATGGTCCGTATCAGATTTTTGAAGGAGGGATGGTAAAGGTAATATTGGTATCTCAAAAGTAAAGAATTACCAAATTTAGAAATGTATTATTTATTTTGAAACAGACTAAAAAGAAAAGTACCTCATCTAATATGAAACAGAGGGAGTAGTATGATTTAGACTTTAGAGCCAAATTCCACGTTAGGTGCATTTTGACGTAACTATTAAAGTTACTACATGTGACCAGGAGGTTACGGGTTCAAGCTGTGGAAACAGTCTCTGACAGAAATGCAGGATAAGGCTACGTACAATAGACCCTTGTTCTGGCCTTTCTCCGGACCCTGCACATTGTGGGAGCTTAGTGTATCGGGCTGTACGGTGTACTTTGTTGCAGTGTTGAAATTTGCTAGCACGTGTTTGAATATTTACAGCTTCTGAACAAAAAGAGGATGGAAATTTCATTTTTTTTAAAAGCAGCATCTGGACAACGGCACTAAACTATCGCTGATTGTGCTGTTTCTAACATTTGATTAGTAAAACAAGATGGAAATTTCGGAATTGTGATTTTAATATGATATGATTGTCTTCCTAATTTATCAATATCAGGAGGTTATGGTCAATTGGTCATTCCCCAAAGATCTGACTTTTGTGGAGGATACAAAACTCCGTTGCAAGTCAATAGTATTACTTGATAACTATTATCTTTTCGTTGGATAAGAAGGGCTCGCTTCTGCAAAACTTACAAAATTCGACAACCTATTCAATTGCGAGTCCAACCATACTACTCAAATTCGATTCCAAATCGGTCTCCTATTTACCTAGTAAAGTTTACTCGATAAATAATTCTTTCACCAATTAAACAAAATATTATTCCATTTACCCATAAACCTTGCCATATAATAAAATTTTCACCCAATAAAAGGGACACTAATTTGAGGAACAAACGTGTGAAAAAAGTTGTTGTAATTAGAAGTCCTTTACGCAATGAATAAATAATTGTTCTTAATGTGATGGCAAGTGGGTAAGCAGGTAGAATATGGGAAGTGGAAATTCCTGATCAAACGAGACTTCAAAGGTCAGCAGATGAGAAAAGTTGGTAATATTCTAACTTGTTTGTGTGGAAGAAATACTTGACACAAAATTTCTGGGAATTCCGACCGACTGAAAGTTTTCTTTCAACAGATCTTGTGTTTGTTATTTCTCCCGTAATTAGCACGTCAGCAATATTCTATTAATTTTAACAGAGTTTTGTTTTTTGCATTTTCTTTAGTTCTAGGATTTTGGACTAAAAGTGCTACTGTTTACAAACATGAAGGACTTTATTTGCGTCTAGAGGTATCTAACAAGGGTCAAAGTAATCTTCACACATACATAATGGACCATTTTGATTTGTTTTCTCGGCTTGGGGCCTTAATTTATGCTCATGATAGCTATTTATTGCAGAAGTGTTTTCTGAGAATAAGTTTGACCTAAGAAGAAATGTGACCGAGGAATTTGAGGCGTTGACCAACAATGCTGGAAGAAGATTCTGAAAGGGAATGGGGGAGCTTACATTCAAAGAGTTGATGATGCTGATCTTATTTCCCACTCGGTAAATTAATCAATTTAAACTATAATCATTGATGTACTATAAAATTTCTTCCCCAATCGAGAAGTGGAAAAAGAGACAGAAAAATAGAGGATCGTTCACCTGGAATTTTTTTTTCTTTTTCTGTTTTAGGGGCGAGCACTATAAAACTGATGCTTTAGTAGTTAAATAAGGAAATTTGATAATGTTGATAAGTTTGAGTTTGGTTGTTTTGCAGTTCTGGTACTACTCACCTCACGGGAATTCAAAGTTTGTTACTTCCAATGATGAATTGATGGAGTACTCCGCCATGTAGATATTCAAGACCTCTTTTGCTTTTATGAACAGGTAATGCTGTTTTCGTTTTACTTATTAATATTCCACAATTTTTATTCTTGAATATGAGTATTATCATGGCTGAGGTTGAGTTGGAGATTTGTGTATGATAAAGGCTTTTATGTTTGGAACTTCTAATAGTTAAACAATTTTACATAGTTCAGGGACAAATTTGGAATTTTTCCTTATTAAGATTTATATTTCTTTTAAAAAAAGGCAGTCTGGTGCATGAAACATCCCGTGTTTGGTCCGAGGAGGGCCGCACCCCTTCAAGTAAAAATTAAAATTCAATTGTATGACTCAAAAATGCAAAAACCAATCAAGGCAAAGGGGTGCTTACAATCGGGTAACAACTTTGTACCATTTTCAAAGTATATTTAAACTAAGAAATGGAGTTATAATAAAGTGCAAAATTTCAAATAATAATATAGATTGGTTATTTCTAATTACACGATATAATTTGTTATAACTAGTAGATATTGCTGTATATTTCAAGAACCAAAGTTTCAAGTTTTTTCCAAAAATATTATTCATGTGTACACAAGTCAGAATAGTTAACTCATTCGCACTCTATCGAGGATATAACAATGTGATTGTGACTTCATTTTTTGAACTGGCTGTCTGCGATCCTGATTTTGCTTCATCAAATATGTTTCTTTCTGTGAAATACCCTGGTTCTTTAGCTTCTGGCAGAGGACTCTCATTACCCAACATCAGAACCACAGAAGACATGTTTGGCCTATCTTCTGGACTTTGTTGCACACATAAAAGACCCACTTGGATTGACCTTAAAACTTGAGATATATGGCAAGAATCAGCTAGCTCCTCATCAATTAGTTCCAAGGACCTATCTTCTTTGTAAAGCTTCCATGCCTGTTTGAGTTTTGATCAGGGATCTAATAAATTCCATGCGTTGTACAGAAAGAAAATGAGTTATGTATGTGTAATGCAGACTATATATAGAGTGCTTACATGACCGAGAAGGTTAAGGTTGTGATCTTGATGGACAAATCCTCTATTTTTCTTGCAACTCACAATTTCTAACACCAAGACGCCAAAGCTAAACACATCAGATTTTACCGAGAAGATCCCATCTACTGCATATTCAGGGGACATGTAGCCACTGTGCCAAAAAAAAAAAAAAAACACAATGTATACTAAAGAAGTGTGATGTCATATGAGAGTACTTTGTCTTAGAGATTCTTACTGTGTCCCAACCACATGGCTTGTGTTTGCTCCCATCTCATTCCCTGCAACACTTCTAGCCAAGCCAAAGTCTGATATCTTTGGATTCATTTCTATATCTAGCAAAACATTGCTTGCTTTAAGGTCTCTATGGATAATTCGTAGTCGAGAATCTTGGTGGAGATACAATAAGCCACGAGCAATTCCATTTATGATGTCGAAACGCTTTGGCCAGTCAAGTAATTTGCTCTTTGTTTGATCTACAAAATAAGCTTTATGATTAGCTATTTCTGTTAACATGCTTTTGCCTTGGTCATAAATGTACATGTTATGACTAATAGGACAAAGCATTATTACTAATTTTAGCTTGTGTAATAGGCAAGAAATCAAACCAAATATGTATGAATCCAGGCTTTTGTTAGGCATGTATTCATAGATCAACATCTTTTCTTCCCCTTGTATGCAACAACCCAGAAGTCTCACAAGATTCCGATGCTGAAGCTTGGCAATATAGATAACTTCATTCTTGAATTCGTCAAGTCCTTGCATGGAAGTCCTTGAAAGCCTCTTCACGGCTATTTCTTGTCCGTCTTCCAGCACCCCCTAGATGACATAATCCAATCTATACACATAATTACTCAGTATATAATATATATGACATAATCCAAAATTAAAACAAATACCCCATCAACCTATACTTGGCCGTAGGTGTAGTCAAAGCACCCAAGTTAGCCTGACCAAATCCAATGCAGCTCCCACCCCTGCACCAAAATTGTGCCGGATCTACACTGGTGCGGCAAGGATTTTATAGGAGCTAAGCAACATAACAGATTTGCAGTGTATACCTTGTAAACTGGTCCAAATCCTCCCTCTCCAATCTTGTCGTTGACTGAAAAATTATTTGTGGCTCTTGTTATTGTCGACAATTGGAACAGTGGCAGCTCAAAATCTTCTTTGAGATTCAGTTTCTTCTTCTTTTTCCGTTTGTATAACAAAATCAGGCATAGTAAAATCATTGCCATCAACAATGAGAAACTCACTGCGAGTATCTCTGCTTTCTTTCTATTTGAACCTGCGACAGAAACTACAACCAATTTTTGCTATCAGCCACTGCAAATCGAGATGGGCCACTATTGTTGCATAATATGGTCTCCATGTGTTGAAAACCTAAGTTTAAAAACACATAATTGAAAATTCTTTAAACATAAGTTCTTACCTTGCTCTGAAGAATCCATCCTGATATAAATGTCTTGCCCTCTTCCAGACAGCTTTCTGATGTCAGTCAACTCCCCAAACCAAAACAAGCAACCTTTCTCTCCGTTGCTTATATCTAGACTTGAATAAGCTGTGCAAGAGCAGTTCCTCGAGCAGACTTGCCTACACCCTTCGAGTGTCATAGTCTTATCGTACTGAGAGTACTTAGTATCAGGCAACTTGATTCCAGAATATCTTAGAAATACATGTTCCTTGTTGCAATTAAGAGGTGTCCTCCGAACACACCCTTCTGACCAATCTCCATTTTCCCATTGTTGTGGATATTTAGCTACAAACTTTTCCAAACATCCACAAACAGGGGAATTATCTATGTCACAGCTCCCATAGGCACCACAT